GCAGTGTTTTTAACTGTGTAGTTTTAATTTAACACCACATACAATAATGAATATAAAATACTGTATACTACTTCTCAGTTTTATTTGAACACTACATACACGATAATGAAGATGCAGTGTTTTTAACTGTGTAGTTTTAATTTAACACCACATACAATAATGAATATAAAATACTGTCTACTACTTCTCAGTTTTATTTGAACACTACATACACGATAATGAAGATGCAGTGTTTTTAACTCTCTAGTTTTATTTTAACACCACATACAATAATGAATATAAAATACTGTCTACTACTTCCTAGTTTTATACGAACACTACATACACGATAATGAAGATGCAGTGTTTTTAACTGTGTAGTTTTAATTTAACACCACATACAATAATGAATATAAAATACTGTCTACTACTATATTTGAACTCTAAACAAACACAATAGTAAAGATAGTTTTATTTTAATGCCATACACAATAATGAATATAAAATACTGTCTACTACTATATTTGAACTCTAAACAAACACAATAGTAAAGATAGTTTTATTTTAATGCCATACACAATAATGAATATAAAATACTATGTGTACAACTTAGTTTTATTTGAACCCTCCATACTCACTCACAACAGTATTTAGAAATAAAACTGTGCATAATGTTATTCAGTTTCCCCTAGATGTTTAATGCATGGACACCAGCATATCACAAAACAGTTGAAAGATTACTTTAAACCATATGTTATCAGTTTGTAAAAGGTATGAATTTATAGATTTTCAGTGTAGTATTCTTCAATTTTTGATATTTTTTAATTGTAACACAGCACAATAATTGTTAATGTTAGTGCTAGGAAATATATTAATTGCACCAATTTGTACTGGACTAAAGTATATAGCATCATGTTGTATTAACTAGGATTGAAACCCTGGTTTTAAACTTACACATATTTGTTTAAACTCAGCAAAAGATCATGGAAACCACGAGGGCAAGCTAGTTTGAAAGCCTGAAAATATTGTAGTTTATGTTATTGGTCATACATAGTATAATATAATATATACATTATTTTCTTCAAAGTGCATGTTTATGAACTTTTTAATCTACATACAGGCTTTACCTTTGCAACTCTTACATGAAGTGGTGCCTCTACTTCTGAAAGATAAGTCAGCAGATAAAGGATTGACTCTAGTTGTTGGTAGGATGTTGGACTGGCTGTACTGGCCAAAAGCTATAAATATTTCTTCATGGATCTTAACAGTCTTGAAAGGCATGGCTTCATCCAAAAAATTTTCTCTGCTTATGATCATCTTTGAAGCAAAAATAGAACAGGTATGTATTGCTTTGTGAGTTCTGTAGGCTTATATCTTCATATTTCACCCACATCTTGTGCTATGGCATTTACAATGTTAAAACTATAAAATAAGGTTTAGGGTGAGTAATGTCATAAATTATTACTACTATAAATATTTTTAGATGCCATTGAGGTAGAACTGCTTAGGTTTCTAAGAAATAGGTGCAATTTGTTGATAAAACAAAGGTATCAGTAGTCATGTGGATTTTTTAAGTCAATACCACAACTGGCCATAAAACATTTCAAGTAGTGACTACAATATCCAGTAAAATGAGAGGTATTTCTGTTAAAAGAAATTTGTCAGCAGAAAAGTTTGGTAACATAATGTTGTGTGGTAGCAGGAATTTTTATAAAACAAGGAATTTGTAGACAAAATGTCAGTTAGGTAACATAGTTTTGTGGGTTACCAGCAATTCTAAATAGAAGAAATTTGTATGCAAGAAAATCAGGTAAGTAGCATAGTTCTGTATATTAGTAGTAAATTTTATGAAAAGAAGGTAATATGTGTTGGTGAACTAGGTATCAGAGGAAATTGATGCCTATGTAAATAACATAGGATTCTTTGTGTCTGCAGAAGCAATAAAAAATGCAAATTTAGTATTTTTTTAAAGTAAAGCCTTATTAAATAAGCTTACACAATACTATGAGTGTCCTTAAAATCTTGGGAAGTCATGGAAAATTAGCTGTTTCAGTTCTGAAAATTGTGAAAAAATAGCTATTGTACATCATGGTCCTGAAAAAGTTGTGAAGGTTTAATTTAATAGAAAATTCTCCCATGAAATAATCTACTTAATTAAGAAAATAACTTTGGTTATTGGAATTAGCTATATGGGCTATATTTTATAGTAAATGATGTTTTAGGTTAGAATTCTTAAGTAGATACTGAAAGAGTTGAGGCTTGTTTGATCTTTACCAATTCATTTTCCAATATTTTATTCTGTCATTGATGTTCTTTTCTTGCTGTTATAAAGCTTCTGTACTTCTTAAATCTTGTTGTTGTAATCTCTCTGTATATATCCAATATCTTCATTGATCTTGTCATCAGTCAGATTTATTTTTGTTGTTAATTCTTCTTTCAAATATTTTGTCTGTTTTTTAACTCTTCTCTTAAATTTCAGTCTTGTATCTAATTTTCTATAAATTTCTTCATGGTCTTGTTTTGTTTTTCTATCTCTTTCTACTTTTTGATCTTCTTTTATTTTCTGTTTCTTTCTTCATGATTTTATTTTAATTTTTTGTGAATTTCTTCTTGTCTTTTATTTTTCTGTCTGTTTCATCATCTCCAGGGAATAGCTTAACATTTGGATAGTTCTGGAATATGATTACCATACTATGGAATGGTATAGCTTTTGGATATTTCTGGAGTATGATCACCATACTATAGGGATGATTTTACACTTGGATAGATATGGAGGTATGATAACTTACTATGGAATGGCTTAACTATTAGATTGTTCTGGAGAATGATCACCATAATATAGAGATGGCTTTATACTTGGATAGTTCTATAGTATGATCATCATACTACGTGGATGACTTGGATCACTATAATATTGGGATAGTGTGTACAGCTCTATAATATGATCACCATACTGTGGGAATGGCATGGTTAACTCTATAGTGTGATCACCATACTGTGGGAATGGCATGGTTAACTCTAGAGTATGATCACCATCATATTGGGATGGTGTGGATAGCTCTATAATATGATCACCATACTGTGGGAATTGCATGGTTAACTCTATAGTATGATCACTATAATATTGGGATAGTGTGGATAGCTCTATAATATGATCACCATACTGTGGGAATGTCATGGTTAACTCTATAGTATGATCACCATCATATTGGGATGGTGTGGATAGCTCTATAATATGATTACCATACTGTGGGAATGGTGTAGTTAACTCTATAGTATGATCACCATCATATTGGGATGGTGTGGATAGCTCTATAATATGATCACTGTAATATTGAGACAGTGTGGATAGCTCTATAATATACACCTGGAAAAAAGTTAAGCAACCCCGTGTTTTTCAAGTGATTCAGATTCGACGTTCTTGTGACTGATTATAAATTACCATTCAATCTAAACGTGTTTATCAAATGAAATTATGCATTATTGGGCACAAGAAAACAAGATTATCACCGTAAAAT